CAATAAATGTGGGATTCATAAATACTTTCTTATTAATTGTAAACACCCGTTTTGTCTGGGTTTAAAAAAAAAATCAGTCTAACGTTTCAGCACCATCAAGTCTTCTAGAAGTTGCCATTATCATCATCACCAGCAACAAAAAATCAAGCCAAATTAAAAAAAAATACACAATATTTTTAAGCATGTTGAAAATAAAATAAAAAGAAAAAATGTACAAATTGGGCTATATAAACCCAAAAGAAAAATGTAAGAGGGGTGGGATCCCGATTCAAAAATCAATAAAAGCAAAAAAGTTTAAAGAATTTTTATGGTATTTACGTTTTATTTTATTTTATTTTATTTTTACTAGCTTTTGAAATAAAAATAAAAAAAAAGAAAAAAATGGCGTTTATTGTTCTGTCGGAGCCTTGTCGATGTTCAAAGGGTCGGTTCGCCGATCCAAACGGTGAGAAGAAGCGTCTCAAGGAGGGGAGCAGAATACTGATATTTGAGCCCGATCCAACGACGGACGGCGGAGATCGGAGCTCGAAAAAGTCGAGCGATCTTTAGCCATTTCACGACGTTCGGAGCATCCCCTGATGAAACGGAGCCCGAATCCGTGACCACCGCGTTGAGACGAGTCTCATGAAAAATTTTGGTGGCTAACAGCCACCGGAGGCGGAGCCGGCTTGCGACTGCCAAAAGAATTTATTGAAGCTTGCAAGTTTCTTGGGTGGTTTACGTGCAACAGAAGATATATTATGTTTGTATGGAAAAGGGTAAATCATGCATCATGTCCTTGATTTTTAGGATATTTCTGTTTTGTTTGCCTAATTTAGGGTCAAATCGCATTCAAAATCCTCCCAGTTTCAACGTGTTTTATGCTTTGGTCACTGTCAGGGTAAAATCACTTTTAAGCTCCCCGTATTTTAGTTTCTTTTGCATTATGGTATTTACTTTGTTATTTATTTCGAATATGCATATTGGTTTTATTAACTTTCGATTTGGTCATTATTTTTGCTATTTTATTGGTTATAATTTAGTAGTTGTTTTATTATTTGTTGTATTTTAATCACCAGACCTTTAGTTTCTAATTTATTGTAATTTTGTCATTAAAAATTAGCTAACCCTTATTCCCATATGTAATGGGATAAGGAGGAGGTAAGATAGTAGGTTGCCCCCAACGCTAGGTTAGAGTGTAGCTTCCGTGGGAGACCTCCGAATTATGAATTACCTACCATGGGACTCGATCCCACGACCACAAGGTATTTCACAACGTAAAAATAGAATGTATGGTCTCACCAAATCCATATATGGTAGGGGTCCCAACGGGGCGGGCTGAGACGGTTTTGCATTATTCATTATGTTCCCAATACTCGCGGGTACGATTTTGGGGAATCCCCAGTATATATTTCGGGGATTTTTTTCTCCCCATATTCATCCCTTATAGATCCCTACGGGTTTAGATTAATCCACATCTTAAAAAATAAACAAACATTTTTTAAATCAATGTAACACCTAAAATTTGTAAGATATATCAAATTATCTCAAATTGTTCTCTATCTATAATATAAAAGATTTAAGTAGAGGTGGCAAACAGAGCATTTGAATCGGGTTTGAGTCGGGTCACTTTAGGTCGGGTAATTTCAGGTCTAGATTAAATTTAGTTTAATTTTGTTCGGATCTAGTTCAGGTGTACGGTGAATCGGATCGGGCCAAATATCGAGTCAGGTCAATTCTCGGGTCGCGTGATTATTTAATCAGTTGTTTTCCTGTTCTGATCAATATCAGATCAGTTGATTTTTAGATCGGGTCAATATTAGATCGATTGATTTTGGCGTCGGATTAATATCATATAAGTTAGATTTCGGGTCGGGTCAATATTGGATCGATTAATTCTCGATTTAAGGCCAACCTTTAGTTCATGTCAATTCGGGTTGAATTAATTATGAGTTTAACAAAATCACACACACACACATATATATATATATAATTGATATATACTCGTAAAAATATGTCTTTTTATTTGTTAATTTTATCATTTAGGATTAATTTAAATTCTCAATCATTCAATATTTTGAATTAAACCATTATTTAGATATGATAAATCAATAATTTGACACAAATACGATCCTATAATACGTGTTATAATTTGTTATCAAAATTTTATATTGATATCGTATGAAAAATTTATAACGATAACTATTTGATAAATAAATATTTTTATTAAATTTTTTATTTCCAATTATAAATTTAATATTTTATTAAATTTTTAAAAAATAATACATAATTTTATTTGTTAAGTTTTAGTTGTAACATAAGTAAACTTTATATTATTTTTATTATAAATATAATATTATTTTTTTGTTTTAGTTGTTTTCTATTATTTTTATTATAAATCTAATAATTTTATAACAAATAAGATAAATAAACTTTATTTATTACTGTTTTCAATCTTACAATTAGATTCTTATTTTTATATTCCTCTTAATCTTTCTATTATTTTATTATAACTCTAATATTTTTAATAAATTATCATTTTTTTAAATTAATTTATTATTGAAAATATTTTTTATTGTTTAATAACTTGTATCAATTTCAATCTATTCGGGTTGCTTTCGGGTCGGGTTAAATTCATTTCGGGTTGCTTTTGGATCATGTTAAATTTCGATTCGAGTTTCTTTCGGTTCGGGCTATTTTCGATTCAGGTTAATTTCAGTTCGGTTTCTTTTGGTTCAAATTAATTTCGATTCGGGTTAATTTCAGTTCTGGTTGATTTTAGTTTCGATAATTTTTGGATCGAGTATGGGTATGGTATCAGATCAAATTTGATTAGAATGTTCGGATTAATATCGGGTATTGAGTCGGTAAATCAGTTCAGCTAATCAGGTTTGGGTCAAGTTTGCCAGGTCTAGATTTCGGTTATTCTACATCTCTATCGGTTCGAATCTCCACAGTTTTCGATTTTTCCCACCCAATTGCCACCCCTAATATATGGTTTATGATAGATCAAATGGAGTTGACGGAACTCCTAATAAATTTAAATTTTCATACAATTTAAAGATTTTGTCTTATTTTTCTATTTTTAATCCATCTTTATTTTCATAAAATCATAAAATTTTATAAATTTATCTCTGATATCAAATTGTTATTTTCTTTATTGATTCAGCTAAAATCAGTTCTATTGAAGTTGTTGTGGATTATGAGTAAGAATGGATATGAGTGAGGAAGGCGGTCATCTGAAAATTTATAATTACTATATATTTTAATTTTTTCTATGTATTTTCTATTGAAAATCTATTTTCACCCTTAGAATTTTTTAAATTCGAGTTTACTCCCTGAAATTTTATAAATTCAAATTCGTAACATAAAATCATGCATCCATTCATGATTTTGAATAATTTGATCGAATCATAAGAAATCCCACCGGTTTCAACCCTAGCGCTTTATTTTTATTTCCCTCCAAATTGGAATAAGTAGCTTCAATTTATGTTAGTTGGTCATTTTCAACATTAGTTGTAGTATATGAAATAGATTTGTTCAACAGGTAATATAGGACATAATCTTGTGAACATTACTTATCCCATAAAAATGTATGATATTTTCGATTTAATAATTTTATTTATATTATTTTATAATTAATTATTGAAAATGTATTATCCCATGGAATGCCTAGCCCAACCGATAGTGGTGACAATTGGGTGGGAACAAAATCGAAAATTGTGGGGGTCCGAATCGACGGGGATGGAGAATAACCAAAATCTTCACCTACGAGGATAGGAATGAGGACAGAGATTGTTATAGCCGAACCATGAGATAACTGAACCGTACCCGTGTGAATAACCATAGAGATCCCAAAATATATCCATAGGGATCCCCGATATTTTACAAAATTTTAAAAAAATATTTATAATCATTTACCTATATACCCTTAATATATATTTTAATAAAAAGTATATATATGATAAAAAAAACCCCTAACTACATATATTCTAATACCGTAATGTTGATCTCACTTATAGAATAACTAATATTGAAGTTTAGATTTTTTCTCATTTAATATACATTGATTTGTTAAGATTGAAAATGGTTAAGATTGTAGAGTTGTATATGAATATTTATGTTTGAAACTTTCATATTTTAAATAGAGACCAATTTGAGAGAATGTGATATATCTTATAAATTTTAAGTATTGCATTGACTTCAAAAATATTTATTTATTTTTTGGGATGTAGATTAACCGAAATTCATAAGAATCTATAAAGGATAGATATAAAAAAAACACGAAACATATAATGAGATTCCCCGTAACCTATCCATAAGGGGGCGTTTGGATGAGGGAATGTGAGGTTCCCATGGGAATGAAATTCACATTCCCTCGTTTGGTTAGCCAGGAATCTCATTCCCGGTAATGTAAGATTAACAATAGTAGATTTTTTTGGGTATATTACCGGGAATGTCATTACCTTCTTTCCTTAGGTATCGTTGGATTACCGACGTTTTGGACTAAAATGCCCTTAAATTTTTTTTCTAAAAAATATCATTCTTCTGTCTTTGAATAATAAAAATTCTACGAATGTTAAAAAATTTATCCTTAAACTATTTTAGATTTACAAAAAAAAGTCTATAATTAAAATTTTATATAAAATTCAGGGGTTAAAATAAAATTTTACCATTTGATTAAACCTTTTTATATTTTTAATTTTGTAAAAAATATTATATAAATTTTATGAATTTAATTTTTTTTTAAAAATATATATAAATATTTTTTAACTTATTGAAAAAACAAATATATAGTAAAGACAATTTGATCAAATATACATTCTAATAATATTTTATTCTTTTAACCAAACATAATAATCTTACATTCCTACTAAACCAACCAAACACAAAATAAAATATTCTCTAATAATTTTACATTTTCAATAATAATCTTACATTCCGTAAATATTAAAAACGAAATGTGTAATATAAAACCGTACCTGCCTCACCCCGTTTCCACCCTAACCAACCAACCAACCTATAGTTTATTCAATACCAAGAAAAGAAAAAGCTACCTGACCTACCAGACTGCCCGACAACCCTTTACCAAAGTGAAGGCTAAATAGATAATTTACGCAGAGCAGCAGAAGAAGGGAGAAATGAAACAGATGAGTGAGAGATGAAGAGAGTAGAGCTGATATTGGTTCCAACACCAGGAGTGGGCCACTTGGTCACAACCGGCGAATTCGCAAAGCATCTTCTCCGTTTCGATGATCGAATTTCAGTCACTATTCTTCTCATGAAGTGGTTTCGGGGTTTACCCTATGCCTACGCCGAATCGCTTGCTGCTTGCCAACCCGATCGAATCCGCCTAATTCACCTTCCTCAGGTAGATCCTCCCTCGCAAGATCTTTATAAATTATCACCAGAGGCCTTTATCTATGAATTCATCCAAAACTACTTCGCCCCCGTTAGAAATGCTGTCAGGGATATTGTGTCCACGAGATCTACTTCGGATCCTGATTCGGGTTCAGTCCGGGTTGTGGCATTAGTTATTGATTTTTTTTGTTCCCCCATGGTTGATATCGCTACAGAACTGGGTCTTCCTTCTTATATATACTTAACCTCGAATGCTGCCTTCTTTGGCCTCATGTTGTACCTATCAACCCGACATAGCCAGAACAGCTCGGTATTTGAATACCCGAAACCCGAGACAGGAAACATGGATCTTGAACATCTGATCCCGGGGTTTGTAAATCCTGTCCCTTCACGTGTTCTGCCTTCGTTTGTGTTCAACGAGAACGGAGGTTATACCGCACTTGTCAAGATCGCTAAGAAGTTCAGGCTTGCAAATGGAATCATTGTAAATACGTTTGAAGAGCTTGAGACTAATGCTGTAAATTGTTTTTACAATGGCCAAAACCCTCCAATTTATCCAGTTGGACCAGTGGTTCACCTCGACAGTTTGCCCCACCCTGAGTTGGACCAGGTCCAACGCGACAGGATCATGGAATGGCTCGATAATCAGCCTGAATCATCAGTGGTTTATCTTTGCTTCGGAAGCAAGGGTAGCCATGGTCCACGCCAAGCGAAAGAAATAGCATTGGGGCTAGAAAAGAGCGGGCATAGGTTCTTATGGTCCTTCCACATGCCACCACCACGACATGATGCTACAGGCCGAACCGTTCATTACAAGAATCCCGAGGAAATGTTGCCACAAGGATTCATGGAAAGGATCCAAGAGAAGGGGATGATATGCGGCTGGGCACCGCAGGTGGAGGTTCTCCGCCACAAGGCGGTCGGAGGGTTCGTATCTCATTGCGGTTGGAACTCGATCCTCGAAAGCTTGTGGTGTGGTGTGCCGATAGTAACATGGCCAATGCATGCGGAACAACAGCTGAATGCATATCTGATGAAGGAGATGGGATTGGCGGTAGTGATGAAGTTGGATTTCAGGGGAGGGACAGGTGAAACTGTGACGGCGGAAGAGATTGAGGAAGGCCTACGGACGGTTATGGACGCAGGCTGCGAGGTTAGGAAGAAAGTGAAGGAAATGGCCGGGATGGCTCGGAAGGCTGTTAAAGATGGTGGATCTTCATTTAACTCGATCGGAAGATTCATAGGGGATATCATGGGCAACACCTGATATCCATGCATGTATGTTAGTCTCGTGTATATTGATAATGGTACTTGTAAGACATGGTATGCTGTTTTTTTTTCAAGTTTTCTTTTGTATTTGGAGGATTTTCTTATGTACTGTATTAAGTCATCGCGTCATGTAGTTCCTCTAGTGAACTTGGACCATCAAATTGAAGTTCAAATGGGCTGTTAAAGCTGCCATAAATTGAGGGATCACTTACTGGTGATAGGGGTGTATTTATTTCTGTTCGGATTTTAATAAAATATTAATTAGATACTATTAGAATATTTTTTTATAAATAAAATTGAAATAGAATGACATAAATTGAAATTTTCGGTTTCATTTGATTTTACGATTTTTAACTGTTTATTATTTTTCAAACTCAACATCCAAAATAATAAAATTTAAGTTTAAATCGAGTGCGAATTAACAAACAAGTTTAAATTCACAAAAAATATTATTAGTTTAAGAAATTTATTTATTTAAGTTTGTCTTATAATGTACAAAACTAAACAATCTCAGTGGTTAAAGATTCTTATTATCTATTGTGATCCCGAGTTTGAACATCTCGTATGCAAGAGTTAAACATATACTATTCGTCCCAATTTTTTTTTAAAAAGAAATCGTATTATAATATATTTAAAATAGATCTAATTTAAATCATTATTTTTATTTTTATTTTATTTAAAATAAGTTTTATATAAAAAGCTAAATTAAACCATGTAATATAATTCGAATCAATTTTTTTATTTTTTATTTTTCTCAACCTGAGATGGAGAATCACATGGATTATGAAGAGCTCTATCTTGCTCGTTGTGACGTGTCCTTCGCATTGTATTACTAGAGTCCTCATCTTACACTGTAACAAACACCTCAGTTTAAGAAATAATTTAGTTAGAGTTTTATATGAGGAATTTTTTTTTCAACGCCCTACATGAGCGAGGAAGACGGAATTAGACACTTCACTGCATGTCATTGGCGAAGGCCAAAAATATTAGCTTGATCTGATATTTTAGGCCCACAAGATATATGTTTTTCTTTATTTTTCATACGGAGTAACAATATCCATATCATTCATATTTTTTTATATTTTAATAAAATAAATATTTATTTTATTAAAACCTTTTTAAAAAATTCTAAAGAGTGGCGAACTTAATTTTTTTTAAGAGAAACCAAAATAAATTTTAAAAGAATATATTTATGATATATACGAATTTAAAATTTTTAAGAACTGATTGGCTCCGCCCGTTCCCCGAATCCATCCATAATACAACTTAACGTGAGAATTGAGTTTTATTTTTTATTTTTTATTTTTTATTTTTTATTTTTTAATTCTGTTTAGAGGTTTTTTTTCTAAGGATAAGCATAGCTAGGCAAGTACAAAACATAGAAAGGGACCATTAAACAAGAAAAAACGAGACAAAAATGTACAATAATGAGACAATTGAAAATTTCATGCTCTGATTTTGTAAAAAAAAATCTCATGCTTCGTTGCTTCCGTTAACAAAGTTGTTGATGTTGTTTAATTATTTTGGTATGATAATACAGTCGTACTTGCCGTCAAACACCAAGCGGATTGAAGAGACTGAGGAACGAAGAGCTGGAGGCATTGAGAGGGAACGGTGTGGGACAGCGCGTTATTCCTAGAGGATATACGATTATGATGTTTACAACGATCTCGGCAATCCTGATTCTGATCCGAATAATAAAAGACCCGTGCTTGATGGTAATAAAGAATTATCTTATCCTAGACGGTGTCGGACAGGTCGCCCTCGATGCTAAACAGGTAATTAAATCGATTGTCGAACTTATGGTTCGTAAGCTTCATAAATGAAATTAATTTATGATTTTCAATTTAAGACTGCCACATCAAACTCTCAATGTCAACAAATCTTATCTTTATCTTTATCGTAACGTTTAGGGTGTGTTTGGTTGGGGAAATGTGAGATTCCCATGGGAATGTAATCTATATTTCCCCGTTTGGTTGGCCGGGAATGTCATTCCCGGTAATCTTACATTACCAATAGTGGATTTTTTTAGGGTATATTACCGGGAATGTCATTACCTCCCTTTCCTTAAGTATTGTTGGATTACCGGCGTTTTGGACTAAAATACCTTTAAAATTTTTCTTTCATTCAAAAATATCATTAATTTGTCATTGAATAATAAAAATTCTATGAAGGTTAAATTACAAATTTATCCTTAAACTATTTTAGATTTACAAAAAAAAAGTTTATAATTAAAATTTTATATGAAGTTAAGAGGTTAAAATAAAATTTTACCATTTCATTAAACCTTTTTATATTTTTAATTTTGTAAAAAAATTATATAAATTTTATGAATTTAAATTTTTTAAAGAAAATATATAAATATTTTTCAACTTGTTAAAAAATAAATATATAATAAGGATAATTTGGTCAAATAAACATTTCAATAATCTTTTATTCATTTAACCAAACACGGTAATCTTACATTCCTGCTAAACTAACCAAACACAAAATACAACATTCCAGTAATCCTATTCCCTGATAATCTTTTATTCCCATTGGTAATCTTACATTCCGTGAACCAAACGCTCCCTTATTGTCGATATCGAATGTCATGTCAATTCAACAAGGTCATCTTATCACTTTAATTATGAGATAAAGTAAGTGATACTAAATTAAAATAAAAAAAGAAGTTATCACTTAAGGATAAATATGAATCAAAACAAAATTCTGGGATTCTGTTGAAAAAACCATTAAATTTAAAGACTAAAATTGTCTTTTCTTAATTATTTCATTTATTTATGTTAGTATAGACTAATATTGCTACTAACGGCATTACGCTTAAATCGTTTTATTTGACATTAAACTTTACATCACGTGCTAATTATTTTCTTAAATGTTTCGTGTTAATTAATAATTAAATATTAATTTAGTTGTCTTTTAAAAAATAGTTGTAAAAATGATTTTTTTAAAAAAAAATAAAGAAGTATATAATTATAAAGACAATATTCCATTCTTTAATTATATTTAACTATAAAAACTTTTCTTTAAATTAGTTTCGATAAAAAATTATCATTAATGTTATTTGTAGATGACATCAAATAATAAATTATTTGTGGGATAAAAAATCATATTTTTTTATGGAAGTAGTTAAATAAACTAATAATTGCAGATCCTGAATTTGGAGACAAGGAGCAACATATTTTACGTGCCAAGGGATGAGTGCTTCTCGGAGGTGAAGCAAATGACGTTCTCGGCAAAGACGCTGTACTCGGTGTTTCATGCGGTGGTCCCATCGCTGCAGACGGCGATTGTAGACAAGGACCTTGGATTTCCGTACTTCACATCCATTGACCAGTTGTTCAATGAGGGGATTCGATTGCCTAACATGTACGGTCAAAATTTGTGGAAAACAGTTCTCCCTAGACGACTCAAGGTCATTTCTGACAACAATGCCTTGAGCTTTGAAACTCCGGAGAGTATGAATCGTGAGCTCATCTCTCTCACACATAATTTAACTTGCTAGCTCCGTTGATTTATTTTTAGTTTTGCAGTGATTATTTAGTCAATTGCTAATTATCTTTCTTTTTTTTGGTTTTAATTTCCTGAAGGTGACAAATTCTTCTGGTTCAGGGATGAGGAATTCGCTCGACAAACGTTTGCCGGGATCAACCCATATGCTCTTCGTTTGGTCACGGTGTGATTTTTATAAAAATAATGGAAACAATTGTTTCAAATTCTACCTAATTCTCGCCCAAAATATATATATATAGGAATGGCCATTGAAGATCAATCTAGATCCTGAAATCTACGGAGATCCGGTATCTGCGATCATCAAAGAGGTGGTGGAGTGTCAAATCGGAGGATACTTGACAGTGGAAGAGGTACCAAAGTAATCTATTATCTTCATGCAAAAGTTCACACAGAGATACAATGTTTTTGAATGAGTCATTATATTGTATTCATGTGTAGGCCGTGAAACAAAAAAAGTTGTTCGTCCTGGTTTACCATGACTTGTTATTGCCCTATGTGAAGAAAGTGAGAGAGCTTCCAGGGACATTATATGGGTCGCGATCACTATTTTTCTTAGGTCCTGATGAGACCCTCAGGCCAGTGGCCATCGAGCTAACTTGACCGCCTATGGATGGGGAGCTACAGTGGAGGGGTGTATATACGCCGGCTTGGCATAGTTATGGTGTCTGGCTTTGGAGGCTTGCAAAAGCTCATGTGCTTGCTCACTATTCTGGCTATCATCAGCTAGTTAGTCACTGGTACATATTTTGAATCCTGAAATAATACAAAGTTTCTTCATAGATCTGTCTGATGAATTCGAGTTACAAGTAACCTTGTGATTTGTATTGAAGGTTAAGAACACACTGTTGTACCGAATCTTATATAATTGCCACTAACCGACCGCTCAGTCAAATGCATCCAATCTAGAGATTGCTCCATCCCCATTTCTGTTGCACAATGGAAATCAATGCACTAGCTCCAGAATATCTTATCAGCGGTGATGGGATCATCGCTCCTTCAGCCCTGACAAGTACTCTATCGAGCTTAGTTCTGTTGCTTATGAACTTCAATGGCGATTTGATCATCAAGTGTTACCCGCAGACTTGATTAGCAGGTATTGTCATTGGTTTTCAAGATATATATTCTTTGAAATTTTCTTCTTCTTTTTTTAGCAATTTCTTTGAAATTTTCGTAGACATTAAATATTCACAGTTTTCTTCCTTGATAGGGGGTTGACTGTTGAAGATCCTGAAGCCCCTCACGGCCTGAGGTTAGCGATCAAGGATTACCCTCTTGCCAACGACAGACTTGCTCTCTGGGATATTCTCAAAGAATGGTTTTCTGATTATGTGAACCATTACCATCCAGATGCAAGTCTAGTGGAGTCGGACAAAGAACTTCAAGCATGGTGGACAGAAATTCGAGAGGTCGGGCATGGTGACAAGAAAGATGAACCATGGTGGCCACTCCTCAAAACACCAGAAGACTTGATCCAGATCGTTACAACCATTGCTTGGTAACCTCGGGTCATCATGCATACGTCAACTTTGGACAATATACATATTTCGGTTACTTCCCCAGTAGGCCAACAATTGCTCGAAAGAATATGCCAACTGAAGACGCAACCGAGAAGACTGGGAACTCTTCATGAGGAAACCTGAAGCTTTACTCCTAGAGTGCTTCCCTTCACAGATTCAAGCTGCTACAGTGAT